TGTTTTATTTCTGCAACCCACCTTGGGACCTTCTGATAAAGGGTAGGTGAGAAATCAAAATAAATAAAAATAGTCTGAGGACTGGCTCAGTCATTACAGCATGAGACTCTTCATTTCAGGGTTATGGGTTCAAGTCTCACATTGGGCAAAAAGATTCCTGCACTAGATTACACTTGTGGTGCCTCCCAACTCTACAATTCTATGATTCCACTGTTGACTTGTTGCAAACATAACCTTAGTTCAATATGACCTAAAGCTGATTTTAGGTCAGAGAGAACCAGGTATCTGATAGGATTCTGATAATTCTGAATTTAGGAGATGAGGGTTACTAGTTCTCTCTGGGTACTATTGCAAGATTGCCCCAGGTCAACAGGTCCTGCTATATAAATTTATGACCTATGGATCAAAAGACCATACATTTTATGGTCCATGAACCAAATTTATATCTATATCAAAAAATGGACATAGTGATTTGAGGATATTGTGTTGTGGTATAGAGACATCTATAAGAAAGAGTTAATTATTTGCTTGATTTCTATTCTATGAATAAAGTTATGTAAAAGAAGCCAGCTCAGCTTTAACAATAGCAGCTAAGATATCTGTCTCTATGTCGGTCTGAACTTTCACTTTCCATTAGGATGGAATCCAGTGTTGCAACACTCTCATGCCTATAGGGGTGGCTAACCTGTAGTCCTTCATATTTTTTAGACTTCTTCATCCATAATCCTTGACCATTCGCCATGCTTGCTGGGGATGATGGGCAGGGAAGTCCAAAAACATCTGAAAGACTACACAGGGCTGACACATACTAGCGTATTATCTGTGGCAGGCAGAAGAGAAGAGAAGAGAAAGGAAACTCTGAACCCGAGTGGTATTTAAAGATTAGTTTTCCCACCCTTCTGTGCTTCTCCCCTTTTCATATGAAATACAATTTAGTCTGCTTAATTCCATGTCAATTTAAAATTAACGTGAGACAGGACAGAGTAACAGCCACGTGAAAATGATAAAGACTCACTAGGGTGAATGAAGATCGCAGCAAGTCCCTCAGGCTCAGAGGGAGCCCGGCTACACCCTGGCTTCACAACTCAAATCTGCAGACCAGCAATTTAAATGCTGGCTCAGCTATCCATCTTGCTTTAGGTGGCCTGTTCACCTTTTTGTTATTTGGACACATGAATTTATACTTTTTTACCTTTGTCTGTGCAGATTTTTGCAGCCATCATGGGGTACTAGCCACTCATTTATTTTTCACTTTCTTATATTTATGCTCCACTTTTCTTGTATCATGGAGTCTAAGGCAGCATACAAGTGGTTCACAGGAAGTCACTCAACCAGGCACTGATCAGATCCGGACCAACTTGGCTTCAGTCAAGTAGCTGCCTCCTATAACTTCAGACAAGACAGCAGTAGCCAGCTTGCAAATCCACCCAGAAAGCCTGACTCTGGACATCTGAATCAGGTCACTGACTGCTCTGAGATCTTGTGATGAAGGGTGGTATATGAATCTAAATAATAATAATAATGAGGAGAAGGAGAAGGAGGAGATAGTAGTGGGTTCCTGCACCTTTAATAGTTGTGTATTCCTGTCTAGTCCTGTCCTTCTTTATATCTGACAGCTCAAGTTTGAACTCAAGATAGAGAGGCTGCTTCTAAACTGGTCCTTTGACTTGATACCTTTCACATGTCATGAGTCACAGTCATCCCAAACAAAAACCTACTAATGCTAACAGCCCAGTTTTCCTTGGAACAGAGCCTCATTGATTGCAGGTGAAACTGACAACTGCAGCCCGTTTACTCACGTTTACTCAGAACCTGCTCCATCAAGTTCAATGGCATTTACTTCCCAGTAGATCTGAATGGGATGGCAACGCTAAGCATAGAATGGCAAATCACACCTGCTAAAATCCCTTCTTCTACACAACTATTAAAGGTGCAGGATTCAGCACATTAGCTTTTTTCTTCTTCATCTGGCCACCCTATCTAGGAAATGCACTTAGTATAAATGTGCCAGTTTTCTATTTATTTAATAGATACCACCTTTCAGCAAAGCCTCCAAGGCAATTTACAATAACACAATAAAATACAAATCTCGTGTGATAAAGAGCAGCACCTTTTAAAAAAACGAAGCAACATTATACGCTCCTACGCAGCGTAGGGTTTAGCAGATAAGCACAAGTCCTTTGACTTGTCCCCTATTCCAGCAACATCTTCCCTTCCTCATTCATGTCACGGGAACCAAAACAATACTTTGGCTTGGGAAGGGGGAACCACAGGTATGGCACCACATGAATGCGCGGGAGCCCATGTACAGTTAAAGTATCATCATCAGGATTTGCAGTTATGCAAATAAACAATGTGTGACAGCTGAACAAGTCCAGACATTCAGATATATACCACAGCACAGGAAAGTTCCCTCAGCAGAGAGAGGGGTGGGGCCAGAGCACATGTTCCATAGGCCAAGAGGTACATTTCCCAACATCTCCAAATAAAAATCTGCAGGTAACAATGACAGCTGCTGCCAGTCAGTGTGTGTGTGTGTGTGTGTGTGTGTGTGTAGACAACACTGGTTTAGACCAACCAATAGTTTGGATTGGAATAAGGAAGTTTGGTATTCTCAGTTTATTCTGTCCCAATAGTGGAGGTGGCAAACTTTTGGCCTTCCAGATTTTGCTCAATTACAACCCCATCAGCCTGAGCAAGCACAGCCAAAGGCCAGAGATGATATGAGGTGTCTTATAGCAACATGGGGGGGGGGGAGGCAAAGGTTCCCCACACCTGCCCCACAGAATCTAAAAACAAGTTACACACCACCCTCCTGAATCCATTTCGCCTCTTCCTCCCTGTCAAATGCTTCTCTAGGGACAGATACCCAACTTTCTGTTTCTCTCAGTGGCGTAGCGTGGGGGGTGCAGGGGGGGCCGGCTGCACCGGGCGCAACATCTGGGGTTAGGGCAAATCCATGGGTTAGGGGGCGCAAATCCACAGGTTAGGGGGCGCAAATCCACGGGTTAGGGGGCGCAAATTACTTGCCTTGCCCCGGGTGCTGACAACCCACGCTACGCCACTGGTTTCTCTTTGAAGTGCTGCACATCTTGATGGTGCTAAAGATAATATCAGCCAACTCTGACCAATGCTTTCCTCTTTCTAGCTGGCCTGGACTCTTCCCACCTGCATTTGAGAGAAACCTGCTGCAGTGTAGCTGCATGTGATCTGTGTATGCATGCAGGAGGACATGTTCAGAGGTCACAGTTACTTTTGGCGTGACCAGCGTTGGATTGGGGGGCTTTCAGAGGGTTGGCCAACCTTGAAAGTGGCTGAGAAAAAGGTTAGCAAAGTCCTGGTGCAGCACACGTTATCTTCAGAAACAACAAGCACCAGATTTTCTGTGCACAGAAAGCATTACTAAACGTAGGCCTAATGAAAGAATCTCCTAAGCAGAGTAATAACTAGCCTGTGGACCAAGCCATTAGTTGGAGAATTACATTCCTCAGAAGCCATAAACATGCATCAAAGAGTTTATAGCAGGCCAGAGATGGAACCACAGAGTACTTGTCCGTGGCAAAAGTTTCTGTGAAAACCGCAACAGCTAATTGGGTTCCCAAAATATTGTTATTCTTACTTACTCCTGGATATTCATTTTAAAAAAATTATACTATGTGGGCATTCATATGCAAACATCAGACCCTCTTTATAAAAAGCAGAAAATACAGTTTTCCACTTATATGTTAAATATGTGCACTATGTTTATAGTGGGTAACTTTTTATACCCTGATGGGCGGGTATAAATAACATTATTATTATTATTAAGCACCTTACAGTCTTAGAAATTGAGTCCCTGAACTTGAATGTGCCAAACAATTGACAACTGACTATATGCCTTGAATGATGTTGTTTTCCTGTTTTTATACTAAATGAATCAAAATAAAAATTAGCAGCCAGGGAATTATCATTATTTTTGTTCCCTGCCTGGAGGGAGGTGGTCTGTTTTGTTGTTTACTGTCTCATCGCTTAAGAAAACTGAAACAATACATTACAAAGAATCAAAGAATTGTAGAGTTGGAAGAGACCCCACGAGTAATCTAGCCCAAACCTCTTCAATGCAGGACTCACTTGTTTTTACAGTTTTCTCACAAGTGATTGTATCTTTTGAGGTCCTTGCCTGTTTTCTCACCCCCTGGATTTAGTAATTTTCCTAACTATGATATCTATTGGGTAACCTTTGCCTTTCAACCTACAGTTTTTTCCTCTTCTTTCAACTGCCCCCCTTTTACCTTCTATTCTCTTTTCTTTCTCTGAAGCGTTTTATCTGTCACCTACATGTACAGCCACCACCCAACTCACTGGAAAAATTGTAGCCATCTCGGCTGGACAGGCTCAGTCCAGCAGTGTGTGGCAAAACTACACAACAGGATACAGAATAAAAATAATATTTTTAAGAAAATGCCCAAAGAGAATCAAATTACTAGTCAAATAATATAAAGTGGGTAGTGTCAAATAACAGAGAACTGGTTACTCTCAAGCTCATGCTAGATGCTAGTAGGGTGGCCAGATTCAACAGGGGCCAGTGACTCCTGCTTCTTTCATAGTTGCATAGAACAGTGTTTCCCAACCTTGGGCCTCCAGCTGTTTTTGGACTACAACTCCCATCATCCCTAGCTAGCAAGACCAGTGGTCAGGGATGATGGGAATTGTAGTTCAAAAACAGCTGGAGGCCGAAGGTTGGGAAACACTGGCATAGAAGACGGAATATCAGTAGGTGTAGCTTGCAAGACAGGTTTCCTGGTGCCCACCTGCCACCTACTCTGGCATTTTTGAGGCACTGGGCGAAAACCACATTATTCTCTTGCAGCCTCTTGGGTTCCAAAATTATTCTTAAAATTGATGTGGCTGTTTTGCTTCTGCTCTCTCTCCCCCCCACACACATTGTTTGAGCTTTGTAACAGATGCTCATTTTGTTGCTTTCAAACAACTGGCAATGTTTTATATCATATTTTACATACCTGCAGCCCTCCAGCAGTTGTTGGAAAAACCTTGATCATCCCTAACCGTTGGTGTGGATAGGAACTGGAGTTAAGAGTCCTTTAAAATCTGGAAGGCCACAGGTTTCTCCTTCGTGATCTCTCTCTCTATATATATATATCTCGGCAGTTTTCGAGGGGGTGGGATTCCTTCCTGATCCCAAATAGTTAGTCAGGACTCCCCAGGCATAAAGGATACTCACAACCACCCAGCCTTATTCTAGAGAGAACATTCACACAGCACTGCTCCAGACCGGAGTACTCCCGTTTTATTTTTGTCCTTAAAAAATGCTGACCTGGAAACTCTCCTGTGGAAGTTTCCCAAAGCCCCCCTCCGTGTCCCCATTCCTTGACCTCTTGTCACCAGACTCCCAGCCCCCTTCCGGAGGGTCAGGGAACCTGCTTGGGGAATCCCTCCTCCTCTACACGTCTCCCCCGGCCCGCCAAAGCCAGTACGCCGTTCTCTGAAAATAACTGGCTTTTTTTAACTACGCGGTATGGCGTGGGGCGTGGGGGGGGAGTAAACAACCCTAAAACAGAAGTCGGACCTACACATAACCAGAGGATTTTCTGGCGGAGACCGCCCTGCCACCCCGAAACCCACCATCAGATCCCAGATCACGTCCGTGCCAGACAGACATCTTTACATGTGACCAAGGCCGCAGCACGTGCATACACATGGTTAATATGAACTATGAGTAACTCCAATGTTATTAAGCGATTTCCTGCCTTTTTGCAGCTGTCTCGGCTCCCTCGCAACTGCGTGGATCGAAGACGGAGACCCAGAAAACGGGGGGAGGGTGAACCCACATCCTTCTTGGATCGGGCTCCTATCCATACCCCCCACAGACGAAAACTACGCTCTTGGGCAGAAAACGCTGCCTAAAAGAGCCTGGCGAGTGGATAATGGCTCTCGCTCTCGTGCCCTGGAGGAAATCGACACCAGCAGCCACTCCTCGCCACCGAAAATAAAGCCACGAAACGCGGTTTTCCGCCGAGCCGTCAGCCTCGGTGCGCCCGCGGTGTGCGCAAGGCGCCCCGGAGCCCCGGCGAGGAAGGCGCCCGGGCGCCCAGAAGCAGAAAGAGCCCCCCCCTTCGTCCTCTGACGTCTCTAAGTTTCCCTACTACAGAGTTGCAAACGCGCCGTCCACTTACTTCGCCCGAACGCCCCGAGTCCGCCTTTTGTTCGCTGCCCTTCTCCTTCCCTTCTCTCCTTCCTTGGGGAGCCCCCGCGTTTTTCTCGCCGATTCGGCTCTCCAAATCTCCTTGTTTATTTCTGTAAACGAAGTTGTTGTTTTCCGAGGAGAAGGGCTGAGCTGGGCTCTGCGCTGCGATCTGCTGAGTTGTAATATGAGTTTCCTGGAATTACTCACTCACAGGATTCTTTTCATTCATAAAAACACAGTCATGCGATGACATCATTCTTTCCCCTCCCTCCCCATCTTAGTGAAGGGCACAGGCAGGAGAGAGGTGAAAGGAAGCTGCCATCTTGGTGCTGGGCATTTCGTCTTAAAGGGACCCGCGCCTAAATCTTTTACCGGTGCTAGTGCTCCTTTTCCAGAATTAGCAGTTCAATCGCCATCTGCACCCCGATACAAACAAATGGATTGTTTCTGAGGAAAGAGGGAGCCACTGAAAGTCAGGAGGCAAAAATGCCAGCTTCAGCTATACAACTATTTTTGTATGCCTTATTTTGAAAATGTTCCTTGTTTCTGAACACTATAACTCACAACTTCCTAAATTAGCCTTTAACCCAAGGGTGGGGAACCTGCGGCCCTCCTGACCTTGTTGGACTCAAGCTGCCACGAGGCTCAGCCAGCATGGCCCAAGGTGTATCACATTCCTGCTTTAACAACTTGCAATGGGCTGAAAATCATTAGGTAGCGCTCATGATAGGAAAACTTCATTGGATTAATTTCTGCCTGCCCCACAGGCCTGCAAACACATTCCAAGACCACTGCTGTTTCTCTTGTAAATCCTTCTTAGCGATGGTCTAACTGGTCCTGCTCCCTTCCTGTTAAATTTTGCTACACCTTTCAGTTTGCCAAGTGAGAAAGAACACACCTCTTCAAGTGAGATAGAGCAGGAAAAGAAGAGAGAGAGAAATACTGTACAGTGGTACCTACGTAATTCGTTCCGGAGGTCCGTACTTAACCTGAAACTGTTCTTAACCTGAAGCACCACTTTAGCTAATGGGGCCTCCTGCTGCTGCCGCGCCGCTGTAGCACAATTTCTGTTCTCATCCTGAAGCAAAGTTCTTAACCTGAAGCACTATTTCTGGGTTAGTGGAGTCTGTAACCTGAAGCGTATGTAACCCAAGGTACCACTGTAATATATTGTTGTTCACTCACCACACTTCCCTAAGCTATGAGGAGCTCAAGGAGCAGTGCCAAAGTTTCCTTTAGATGCGAGCACACTGGAGACGTACTTGATGTCCGCTTTATTTACAAATATACAAGTAGAACCTATTGGAAGAAAGAAATACAGCTGTCCGACAGCAGGCAGCAAATCTGCTGACCTCTGCATCTGATTCCTAGAGAGAGCAGCTGCGGCAGCCAGCTCACAAGCTCCCTCCCATCCAAACTCTTGGCTCTGTTCTCTAAATTCAGACTGTAAAAATGGAGAGAGCTGATCTTAAACCCCCTGCCCTCTTACAGGTGAATTGCCCATGCCAGAAATCACCTTTACCATTATTTTGTCCTAGCTGCTCTGACCACATCCACACCATATATTTAAACCACGTGACACACCCCCCCAATTCCTGAATCCCAGGAACTGTAGTTCATTAAGCATGCTCAGAATTGTAGCTCTGTGAGGGGTAAACTTCAGTACCCAGAATTCTCTGGGGAAAACCACATCCGTTAATGTATGGGATGGGTGAGACCCCTGCCAGAATGACCAAACTCTCCAAACTGACAACAGTATGTTAAATCATACAACTGAATTTAATACAGTCATCCAGCTTATAGACCAACTGTTTATTTTAAAAAGCAGCAGCGGCAAGTTGGATAATTATTGGAAGGTAAATCTACAGTGGATATGTTTAAGCCACTTTTAAGAGTGCCAGTGTAGAGTTTGGAGTTTGGCAGGGAGCAGCTCTCCTGGGTTTTACAAAAGGGTTTTTTCCAGCCCTACCTGGAAAGACCAAGGACATCTGCATACGACACATGTGCTCTCCCACAGAGCTACAGAACTTCCCCCAATGCCATTAGGGTGACCAGGTGCAAAGGAGGACAGGGCTACTGCACCTTTGATAGCTTGTTCCACAAAGCCAACATAAAGGTAAAGGTAAAGGGACCCCTGACTATTAGGTCCAGTCGCAGATGACTCTGGGGTTGCGGCGCTCATCTCGCTTTATTGGCCGAGGGAGCCGGCCTACAGTTTCCGTGGCCAGCATAGTCATGTGGCCAGCATGACTAGGCCACTTCTGGTGAACCGGAGCAGCGCATGGAAACACTGTTTACCTTCCCACCTGTTTATCTACTTGCACTTCATGCTTTTGAACTGCTAGGTTGGCAGGAGCAGGGACCAAGCAACGGGAGCTCACCCCGTCACAGGGATTCGAACCGCCAACCTTCTGATCGGCAAGCGCTAGCACTGTGCACTACTTTATTTTTTAAAGGATTTCCAGTACTTATTCCTAAAAGATTTGTACGAGTCATGTCCTGACATTGTCTCAGAACCCCTTTAACTTCCTAAATATGTCAGTTTCTGAGGATAATAAGACTTCAGATCACTGCTTTCATCAGTGTTCTCTTGGGGGAGGAAGAGGATTAAAGTAAGAGTTCATTCTGCTAGTCTCTCACACCCTCACCAAATGACAACCCAGGATTTGGAAGCAGGAATGGAGCAGTGGCTATCTGGGCAGACATCTGGTCTCCTAAACCTGCTTGCACCCGGGTCTGCCTCACCTATGGACAGCCCTTTAAAAAATGCCTGATTTGAAACCAGCCCAACCAGTTCCGTTGACTGATAGCAAGCCAGGTAATTTGTTTTTTTAAAGCATCACTCTTACACAACAGGAACATTCATTTTGAGATATGAATGCATATGCAAGTGAGCATTGGCTTATTTAGTAGATAGGGGAGATCTCAGCTGCAAATCTTGGCTGCAACTTGACAGACCAGCTGCAGCCGGAGGCATGTGCACTAATTAGTTATTGTTATTAATAATACTTAACATAATTATTTAAATGTATACAATTGTCTATCAATAAATATTTCCTGGGCGGCATATATAAAAAAACTGGAGGGCAAGTAATCTTAGTGACTTGACACTAATAACTAAAGTGAATTAGAATGACATGCCACATTTAATCAAGTGCCAAATATGCATTAAAAAGTCTTACCCCTTTTACAACACTTTAACCAATCTGATTATTACTACTATTATTAATCAAACGTCTATACAAAACTTCATCCAAAGATCACAGGGCGGTTTACAACATAAAAATACAAAATGAAAACACAAAATACATACCATAACAACCACCACCACCAATAACCCCCTCTCACAGCACTTTTAAAAGGCCATGGATTGTTTAATCAGTTATATAGTTACTACATAACACAGATTAGAGCCAAATACACTCTACTGCCACCTGCCTCTTGGTCCTTTTCTGGTCTCTGCTGCAGAAGTGAAAAGTCTCCAGGTAAAGTCAACTAGTGGAAGGTGGGAGAGCAGGTAGGTCTCATTCCCTCTCCCCCAGTCTCTCACTAGTGTCTGCAAATGCCTTCTCCTTCTTTCCTGGGCACACTGCCAAGAACAGTTTGCACTTGTTCAAAATGTATTGCTCTGGGGAGCCCCCCCCCCCCCGGAGTGAGTGCTTTGCTGAGAGGCAGTGACTTCTGGAACTATGACCACCAGCCACCCCATGGACTACAACACAGCTTGTTCATTGTAAGCTGGTGTGACCATCCTAGTATAGGTTAATGAAACTTCCAGGTTTTTAGTGGATAAAGTACTGGGTAAAAAGGACTTCAGTATTTAAAAAAAACCCCACCTTGTTTATTATCATTTGAAAGACTTTGCTGTTAAGTATGCAGCTTTCAAATTACCTCAGGATAGCAGAAAGAGCAAAGGGTGCTTAAATGTAAACATCTTTATTTTAAAAGGTTTCTTTATTATTATTATTATTATTATTATTATTATTATTATTTAAATGTCTATATACCACCCTTCTTCTGAACATCACAGGGCAGTTCGCAATCTTCTGATTTTCATGGTAGGAAAAAAATTGCAGATATAAATTCACTTGGTTTCTGCATAACTCAGCAATCGGAAGTATGTATGTGTGTATGTATGTATGTATAAGACACCATTAACTATTAGCTTACAGTTCAAGTCTTTGATAAGAAATCCAGCAGAGTCTGTTTACAACAGATGCTACATAAATGGCTCTGGGAAGTTTATAAGCAAGGCATGAAGGCAACAGCCCTCCCATCTTATTTCATCTCGGGGATCTAGTCTTCAGCAG